GCCGCAAGGTCTTCAGCAACCCGGCCGGCGTCGACCGCCGCGGTTTCCTCACGCTGGGGCCCTACCACAGCCACAAGTGCCTCGAGTGCCCGGCCAACATGTGCAAGAGGAAGATCCTGAGCGAGTACCTGGCGGAGAGGGCGAGGGAGGACGTGGAGTTCCAGCGCGTCTTCTACGTGGGGGATGGTGCCAATGATTTCTGTCCCTCGGGGATGCTGAGGGCGGCGGACGTGGCTTTCCCCAGGAAGGGTTACCCCATGCACAGGCTGATCCAGGAGAGCCGGGAGAAGCAGCCCGGAGCTTTCCAGGCGGCCGTGGTGCCGTGGGAGTCGGGCGTGGAGGTGGCGCGGTACCTGCAGGAGCTGCTCAGGAGGAAATGCTGAGGGAAGGCAGCTCCTGGGATCTCCCCCCGCCTTTCCCGGCTCCGTTCCCTGGGGAATAAAGCACTTTCCGCGGGCTCCTGGCCCTGCCCGGCCGCGGCACGGCCGGACCCTGCTCCGGCGCTGGGGGTGCCGCGCTGCAGCTGTTGCTTCCTTTCCCTTTTGGCCTCGAAAGAGAATTCCCGAAAATCCAGAAGCCGGCTCCCCGCGGGCCGGGCACGTCCCTGCTCCTGCCGTCCCCACCCCGGCCCTGGATCCTCCCCCCTTCCTGATCCCACCGGGAATTCCGGCTGGGAAATCCCTGGCCCTGGGCTCCCTCCCGCTTCCTGAAGGGGGATCCCACTGGGGGATCGTCCCGGGCTGCGGTGTCCCCGTGGTGTCCCCACAGTGTCCCCACAGTGTCCCCGTGGTGTCCCCATGGTTCCCATGGTGTCCCCATGGTGTCCCCGTGTCCCCCCCTGCCCTGGGCACCTGAGCGGTGCCAAAATCCCCCGGGTCGGTTCCGTGGCACTTCTGACACCGGGTCCCCAGGGACCAAACCCGGTCTGTGTCCCCCTCCCCACCGCAGTATTAATTACCCCTTAATTACCCTTTCTAATTGCACTCTGCAGGGGGACCTCCAGGCCCCGCTGCTCTCTGGGGCTGGCTCCTCCTGGATTTATCCCGGATTTATCCTGGGTTTATCCACAGCCTTACCGGCCCCCGGGGGTGGCCCTGACTCCCCCAAACCCTCGGAACCCCCAAACCCCAGCAGGAAATAACCAAAGCAGCCCTGAGCTCTTCCTCCTCCCTCCTCCTCCTCCCTCCTCCTCCTCCTTGGACTGTGTGGAACTCAAAGCCATGGAATTAAAGAGACAAATCTGGATGGGAGACAAATCTGGTATTGCAGGAAGCACGCCCGGGCAGCCCCGCGCCTTCCCAGCGGTGCCAAAGCCGAAATTCCAAGGAAATCCCGAGCGGGGCGCGGGGGGAGGCGGCGGCCGCGGGGCTCAGACGGGATCCACGAAATTCCCGGGGAAGAATCCCGAGCCGGGCTCCAGCAGCCCTCGCAGCAGGCGGCGGGTGACGAACGGTGCCCGGCGCCGGGGACAGCTCGGTGTCCTTCTGCCACCGCTACGGGAACAGGGCCAGCACTGCGGGAGAGGGGACACGGGGACATTGGGGACACGGGGACATGGGGGACACAGGGACACGGGGACATGGGGGACACAGGGACATGGGCACCACCGCAGGGCCACCCCCGGGCTGCTCTCCATGCCGGCCGCGAGATCCAGGGGCTTTGGGAGGCTCCTGCCTTTCTCCAGGGCTTTGGGATGCTCTGAACCTTTCTCCAGGGGTTTGGGATGTTCCGTACCTTTCTCCAGGGGTTTGGGATGTTCCGTACCTTTCTCCAGGGGTTTGGGATGTTCCGTACCTTTCTCCAGGGGTTTGGGATGTTCCGTACCTTTCTCCAGGGGTTTGGGATGTTCCGTACCTTTCTCCAGGGGTTTGGGATGTTCCGTACCTTTCTCCAGGGGTTTGGGATGTTCCGTACCTTTCTCCAGGTAGCTCTCCGGGGCCCACAGCGGGTCCTCTGCGGCCGGTGGCGGTGGCAGGGCCAGGTCCCCAAAGTCGGGCAGGGCTGAGGGTGGCGGCGGCGGCTCGAGGTCATCGGGGGCTGCCCAAAAACCCCAAAAGGGGCGAGGGATGAAGGGGCTGGCAACGGCCGGGGTGGATGGGGACGGGACAGCCCCCCGTGTCCCTGTCACCCCCCGGAGCACCGAGCACTCACCTGGGGGCGGCAGGACCCCGGGGAGGGGTGGCAGGTCCCCGGGAGGTGGCAGCAGGTCCCCGGGAGGTGGCAGCAGGTCCCCGAGGGGTGGCAGCAGGTCCCCGGGAGGTGGTGGCAGGTCCCCAGGAGGTGGTGGCAGGTCCCCGAGGGGTGGC